GGGGGGGGGGGGGGGGGGGGGGCTAGAGAAGAAAATTAGTTTTTTTAATTAAGCAGTTACATCTACTAATTGAATGATTAAACTCCTTGGAATGATAAGGTGAATTAAAACTTCCTCATATTTTATTTTTCTGCAGAGGGACTACAGAGAAAGGCCACGGCGGAAAGGAATATATCTACAGAAGTAAATAGGTGATACAGTTTAACTGGCCAGAATGCAATTTACAAAAAAAGAGAGCTCATGAAGTTATAACTTGAGTTACAAATCTACAGTTAAAAGGATATATAAAAAGACCTGTTCTTCATCCCACCAGGACTCCCAGCTGTCGTCTCCCTTGACACCTACTCCACCCTTGTACAGCAGCCAGTTGGTCCAATCATCAAAGTCCTCAACAGTCCTGTAAAATCATGAAGTATTGAGGGAAGCATGGAATTTTGAGCAACTAAAACCATCGCAAATTGTTTTTTGAGGATGACAAGTGAACAAAAGAATTCAGAAAGCAACGACGACAGCCACGATGTTTCAGTGAATTATTACTATAATTACATATTGGTCACTTCTCCCTCATCCCCTTCTCTTTAATTTACTTGCTGGTATAGTCAATCCTAGAAATAAACTCTTTCCTTAAGTGAAAAGTTCAAACAATCCCAAAAAATCAAATTATCAGATAATATTACTACTTTCTTATTTTGAATATAACGTGCCTAATCTTATTTTAATTTACCATCTCTTTACCAACTCAAATTTAATAAGTCATTTCAGACTACCTTCACCAAAATTATGTAAAGAGCTAAATGGGTTAATCAAAATGGTAAGGAGGGAGTATAAATATTATGGTGCCAAATGTCATCAAAGTTCTCAACTCCGCTCTTTTGCCAGAAAGCAGATTGAAAAGTTACATGGTACAGTTAACATGGTGGTTGTGTAAAATGACTGCAGTGGAGAGCAATCATACAGAAGAAGTTTCCATAAAGAACAGTAAATACGAGAAACAGCAAACATACTTTTGCCATTCAAATCCAGAGGGATTGAAGATGTAAGGAGCAAATAGCCATGAAATAACAAGGAACCAACTGCTGAGAGTTAGCAAGATGAATGAAGTAGTTCTTCCATTACTGTAACCATATGCCAAGTATACTATAAGAAGCAAAGCCACTTCCAACCTGTGGATTAAAGAGTATCAAATGATAGTTCTAGGAACAGATACAAATCCACAAATCAAATTAATGGGGTGTAGGACTCACGCTTTAACAAAATGACTTCTAGAGTAAAGCCTATAGTTTTCCGCAAACTTGATGTGACGAACAACAAAACCTCGTCCAGTCGCCCGGTACTGTTTTAAAAGTAACATGATGGGTTATTTCCGGTGCCTATTATAACTTCCTTCAGAGTGAAGTTCATAAGATCCACATACCTTTGCACCACCATGGAGGATGGTGCGCCCAAAATAGTGAGTCCTAGTCCCAAGCGAAAAGGTAAAGAAGACAGAACAAAACTGAAGCTGCATTGTAATAAAGCTGAAGACGGCCTGCAAAATAGTGCATGTGAATGCAAAGCAAAAAACTAGAAACACCAATTTAAGCAACACAAAATGACAAATTCCAACATTATATATAAGATAACACCAGATAGAATCCATACCTTTAGTAACCCAAGTTCAAGAATGAAACCCATAATCATGGGAACTGCAGTGAAAATCCCTATTTGAACAAAAAATTGAGCATTCAAAGCAGCATCTAGTGCAGTGTTACCCAAAAGTTTAGCTCTCTTTGATATTCCTTCATCAAGTCCAGAGAAAGCCTGCTTGAATTAAAAGAATTGCTGAGACTTGCATAATGGTAGGAAGGACCAATCAAGAACTGTCACTAACCCATTCCATTTGAAGGATAAAATAATGTTGAACAGTTGAACTTAAAGATACTGCAGTTTTGGTTTAAATGCTAAACATGTGTATTAAGTTCCTCAACCTTCCTCAGAGAATAAAGTTGAAGACGACAAGAAGTTACAGCAGTTTTATACTTTTATTCATCCTTTTTTCTCAATGATAGCTTTTGTAAGATTTATGTGTTCCTAGCAATATAACAGCATCAGACAGTGAAGCCCGAGCAAGATAAATGTTCTCAAACATCCCAATTCAAACCTTGTTTGCAACATATTTATCCCATCAAAATATGAAGAGGAAAAGATGAAGAACTCTCTCTCTTTGGTGTTAAGTAGTTGTTAAGTTCATCCTTTTTCCCTAAATGTGCCTTACCACGATTTATGCGTTCTTGAAATAGATCCAACAGATAAAAGTTAGAAAACTAGGGACAGTGCAAAAAGAGGCAAGATTAATCGTGTTAAACATCTCAAGAAAGCGCATGTACATCACTCCACAAACATACAACAGTGTTAACCATGTCTCCAGACAATTCGTTTCATACACAAAGACAAACTGCTAAGACTAATAGAAAACCAGAAAAAGAAACAAGTTTGAGACATTTTACCAGATATGCTCTTCCATATAAGAAAATATACACAGTAAGGACTGTCATCTGCAATAAAGAAAAAATATTATGACAAAAAGCCAGAGACTTTTCTCTCTCCAATTATATGAACTAGCCTGGAAGGTATGATGGATAAAGCAAAATTCGGGAAACAGGGAATAATAGAATAAAAGAGAGAAATTTGATACCATTGTACAAACATAATAACCAACTGTTGTGAAGAAGAACGAGAGCATCCTAAAGAAATCAAAAAGTTGGCCAAGCCTGTACACATCCCTGCTCAGAACTTGCTCTCCATTTCCACCAGCTACCTTGCCTTCAAATAAAGCTATTTGATTTAACCCAACATCTCTTCCCTTTCCAACCTACATTCATCATCACAGCCTTAGAGACAATAAAAGAAATCGTCTAATCAAAAGCACACAAGCAAGCGCAACTACACCAACCTGAATATACTCATGGTGGGTAATATTTCCCTGCCTTAAAGTGGAATTAAAACCTGCAAAGAACAGTAGAAACCATAGATATAATGTTAGACAAGCACATGCTTCAGAAAAAAGAAAAAACACCATAACATTTACAAGCATAGAACTATCAGCTTAAAGAAACACTGCTATTCCATGAGACTATTGGCTAAACTTCATGGAAAGTAATCCTCTGTACAGTATCATGTGCTTTGTGTACTTTTTACTTGTGTGATTTCCCCTTCTTAGCAATGTAACTAACTTTAGCTTTCACAGAAGGAAAGAAAAGAAAGAAAGAACATAACAATTTCAAACGTGGAAATAGTCAAATTAACCAAATAACAATAGGAAAAAAGAGAAATTTTGTGAAGCAGCTCTATTTGTTTTCATGATCTGAAAATGTCAACCGAACACTACGTGCTTGCGATCCAGATTATAGATATCTCAAACGATGGGAACTAGCCAGGAAGCAATTAGGAGAAAGGTGGAAAATAGGAATTACTATGAGTATACCAAGTCTCTCAAACTTACCGGCATAGATGTCCTCACTAATGTTGATAACACGTGATGCTTTACTAATGCCACCCCGCGTGATATGAAAGATTCGATCAAAGATATCAGGATGTCCATAGTGCATGCGAACTCTGCAAGCCACTTGTGAAAATGAAAAACTTTTCCAACAGATGTTTTCAAAGAAGCAAGTTTATTCAAGAGAAGGTTACTCGTGGAGAGCACAGTTATTTACTTTAACAATATATAATGTTAACTCCAACAATTTATTAGTGGTAAAAAAAAAGGAGCACGGGAAATGGAAACAAAGCAGAGATTCATACCACCTGCTTCTTAATGAATTTAGGCAGTTCAAATAATTGTAAAACCAGTGCATGAGTAACACCTTGCAACAGCAGCACAGATAGTACAAGAGTTCTGGTCTTTTTCCAATTTTATTTCACATGTTTCATTTTTTTTAATGGAGAAGGAAAAGAAGAAGAAGGGAAACAAAGCTCTGCCAGATGCAAAAGAATGCAGGAAGGGCACACAGGCTAAACTTGTTTAACCGAATCTAAGATGCCTAAACATGTCTTTGCAGTTGAAGAGAAACATAGCAAAGGATAAACCCAGCCAATCCTACAACCACCAAAATACAAAAAGATTTTAAAAAAAAAAATAATAGTCACACAGAAGCCACACTGATATTTTTTTTTTTTTAATAAGGAAGCCACACTGATATATAAATATATGCATGTGTCTGTATATCTGTGTATTAATTATTAAAAAAAAAAGGTGTATATCATACTATATTATAAGTGTGAAGCTTCAAGCTGAAAGACCAAAATATCCATCAAAAACTAAATGACTATTTTGCCCTTCGAGCAAGTATTATTTCTTTGTACAAAAATATAAATATATATTTAATAAAGATAACCAAAAAAGGACAAGTATAAAAAGTAAAACTAGAAGAAATAAAAACGTCTCAAAATATTTATTGCTCCAACTTTTCCTATTCCCTCCACGATTACTGCAGTGCAAATGAAGAGACTACAATGTCATTTCTCATTAGAAGCTGATATACATCACTAAATAATTTTGGTGCTCTCTTGTCTTGTAATTATGTAATTAATATATGGTACTTTCTTGAGTAATAAGAAAATAATATTACGTTCTTGAAATAATTATTCTCTTCGTTTTGCAGATCATGGACTATTTTGATATGGATGTGGTAAAATATTTGTATAAAAACAAGCCAAATCCGGATTCTTTGACAAGTTCCCTTTGCAAAAAATTGTCCAAAGCTTGTAATAAGGCACCATCTCCAGCTCCTACGGTAATATCAAGCTCTATATATAATACTGTGGATTAACCTGTATATTCATCTAATACTAATACATGAATTTTTGTGCTTTTCTTCTCCTTCTTACTACCTTATGGCCCCATCTTTATCTGGTTTTATAGAAAAATATAGCAAAAGTCCGTGTTCTTTAGCTTTATCAAAAAAGTATATTCCTTGTTCTTTGGGCATAAACTATAGGCTGCATCCCAAAATATTTTCATCTTATGTTGCAAGTATTTTGTTTTGCTCTTTAAAACAGTCTAACAAATTTAGAGGCTGTGGTTGCTTTCGCGGCTTCGCCTTATTAAATGATTATTTACAATCTATTATTTCGTACGAAGTAGCTTAATTTTTATATGAGTAGAACAATATGACTACATAAAAAGAATTTATTTTGATATTACAGAAAGTATTATTAAGTAATTTTTTTTATAATCTGTCTGTGGAAGAGAGTTACTTTTGTGACTCTTTGAAGTTTATTCTAAATTTTATGATTTTGCAACTATTTTGTTTGAGATTTTCACTATGAAAGGCTTCTAAAGTTTCTCATATTGATATCTTTTGCCATCTTCATCTCTGATAGGAGTAAATTCAACTTTATATATTTTAGATATCAAGTTTGGTGGGAAAGAGTCTCGCCTCGTGTATCAATACGAAATATATTTCGTTTTGACCTGTATTAATTAATTAGTAAAATTCCTACACAAAAATAAAAAAAAAATGAATGTGAATTATAATATTTTTATGTAGTTTATAAATATGTAAATTTTATTTCAAAGAATTAAAAAATTCTATGCTCGAATTTACAGTCAAATTTAAAAAGATTGACTTTCGAAATCTAAACTATGCCATGTAAATTGGGATAGTAATGGATTCACGCGCAATGCGCGTGTCAAAAAACTAGTAAGTATATAAGGAGGAGATAAGAAAGAATGACTTCACAGAAACCCAGTACATCCCTTGAATTCCCATGTATCTACCACATCCACTCACATACACGAGTACGTAGCCAAGGAACTGTCACTATTTCATTGCAGATTTTGATAAAGGAAAAGTAAAAACCAAAGAGTGAAACGAGTGTGACAAAGACTTATGTTTCAAAAGACAATGGAGCTTCTCTATCACCCACATATCCAAACAGACGGAAATACTACTAGCCTTAACTAGGGAAAGAAGGAAATAAACAGAAAGATTAAAAAAATAAAAGTTGGGGCTGCAGCCAAGACACAAAACTGCTTCGACAAAAAACAAAAGTTTATGATCTTAAAACTAGCCACGTCAGCTTAGCTACATTGTAACCGGTACACACAAAAAAGTTTCAAGGTATCTGTTAGGACCAAAAATTGCAGCCTCGGTAGACGAATATGACAAGAACAGATACTATACTTGATCTTAGCCAAAGATTTGAGGAATGTAAGAGTGCTAAGACAGACACATATAAATAGAAAGTAGAGCAGAAACAGGTGCCACTATTTCCAAAAGCTTTCTATTTATATTTGTGAATGGTACTATGTCAGCATGTAACTAACAGCTGAATTAATATTAGATACTGAAATGCGAGGAAAAGCTGAAACTAGAAACGACCGAAGCATGAATCAACCAGTAACAAACATGTTTGATAATGAGAACTTCTAAGAAAATAATACCATTTTAGACAACAAGATCGATCTAGGTTAAAAGATACTAACTTGAGAGGCTTTGCTAAAACACGTTGGCCCAAGGTGACAAAACTGGTTTCCTGGTTGGACATAAACCAAGCGAGCGAAGAGACACTGCAGAGTTGAAAAACAATAAAAAGTAGCTTAGCAACAATATCGGAGGAAATATAGTTCAACCCAGATTCAACAGAAACTCACCTTCCAGTAAAAACATGCTCCCTAACACCAAGAATAGTGGGTGGTCGGAGCCCATGTTTACCGTGGAATTCCTCGAGAAGATTTCTGACTTTCATTGCTTCCTCAAGGTAGTTATCCTGCATTAGAGAGACACAAATTAATTTAAGATCAGGAGAAGGTGAAATTGGAAAAGAACCTCCATTTGTTTATACTTACACTTCAGAGTTAAATGACACGACAATGCGTCTATCCCAGGAGAAACGGAAAGGGGAAATTTTACAGAATAAGTAAACTGTGAATAAACCACAAAAGATATCATCCTCTGGAAAGACAAGAATAAGACTTAAAAAATATAGGAATTTAACGCCAAATAAAGACCACTGTAAATCGCATTATATTAATGACATGGAACACAGACAAGCAAATCTTTGGAGGACAAAGATATTCTGAAAGCAATAATTAGAAGAGTTGTTTCACGTGGTGTTCATTGAACTAGATAAATAGGGACTTGCACATGGTGTTCGTTCTCGAAAGAGGTTCATTGGAGATGTTTGGAGGTTAGAGGTTGCTAGTAGCATATACAAGAGTGATCCAGGATATGTATGATAGCGTTAAGACCCACGTTAGGACGGTGAGAGGAGACTCGGAACACTTTCCAGTCATGATAGGACTGCATCAAGGATTCACGCTTAGTCCGTTTTTATTTGTCTTGGCGATGGATGTTCTGATCCGGCGCATTTAAGGGGAGGTGCCATGGTGCATATTATTTGCGGATGACATAATACTGATTGACGAGACGCGAGGCGGTGCTAATGCGAGACTGGACTAAAAGCTAAGCAGGACTAAAACAGAGTACTTGGAATGCAAGTTCAGCGACGTGACTCATGAAACGGACGTGGAAGTGAGGCTGGATTCACAAGTCATCACCAAGAAAGGGAGTTTCAAGTACCTCGGATCTATAATCCAAGGTAAAGGTAATGGTGAGATTGACAAGGATATCACACATCGAATTGGAGCAGAATGGATTAAATGGAGGCTCGCTTCCGGGGTTTTGTGTGATAAGAAGGTGCTACCAAGCCATAAAGGTAAGTTTTACAAAATGGTGGTTAGACCAACTATGTTGTATGAGGTGGAGTGTTAGCCTGTCAAAAACACACATGTCCACAAGATGAAAGTAGCGGAAATGAGGATGATGAGATAGATGTGTGGGCATAACCAAAATAGATAAGATTAGGATAGATAAGTTCTATAGAGTGGTGGTTAGGAATGCAGAGATAGATGTGTGGTGTTAGATAGTTATGTGTAGAATATGTTCTAGTCTCATATGTAATAGAAGTAGAATATGTTCTAGTCTCATATGTAGTAGGAGTAAAATATGTATCATATATAGGGCTCATTGTATCATTGTGAAAAAAAATAGATTTTTCTTCTGTGCATTCTCACATGGCATCAGAGCTTCAGTGAGAAAATTATCGTGTGCGCCATTCCATATGTACCATATATAGGGCTCATTGTACCATTGTTAAAAAAAACAAATTTTTCTCCCGTGCATTCTCACATGATATAGTGAGAAAATTATCGCTGTGCGTCATTCCAGCAACATCTGGGAAGAAAGATCTCATCGCCGTGCAATTTTCCGACAACTTCGTCTTGTTCACAGGGTTCATCACTGCTACAGTGGTACTGTGCATATACCAATACCACCATCACGGATCTGTGTGCGACCAAACCCACAAATCGCAGTCCCATCGGAAAAGTCAGTCACCGTGCGTCTTTCCGGTTGACGACTTAAGATTGATTTGCATTATCTCCTCATCGGTAAGTGGTGTGAAAACCAACACTACCATCTTGTTCGAAAAACCAAGGCGGAAAATCTTAGTCAATCGCTCCGGCATAAAGTCACTCTCACGTCGCCAGACAAAACTAGGGTTCCGACGAGATACAGTAACTTTTCCGGCCGTGTGAGCCATTCCAGCCACTTTTTGATAAAACTTCTTCAGGACAACATACTCGCCCAGTGATTCCGAGCCTACCCATATAAATTACATCAAATTCTGACAATTTTTATTCTTCCCGACGTGAAACGGTGATTTCCCATCATGAACAGTAATGCCCAGAAAAGTTTATGTTTTCTAGTGGTGTTTTAAAACCTATTTTGTAATGTGGAATTCGGCTTAGTCTCACTATTTTAAAAAATTTCCGGCTACTTTTCGGCCAACTTCTGTTTATCAGCAACCGCCCGGTTTTGTTGCTCAGGGAAAGTAGTGGCCTTGTATGTCGAATGATCAGCTTGCAGATATTTTCACCAAGTCCCTCACTGGTCCTCGTATTAGTGACATATGTAACAAGGTGGGTGCATATAATTTGTATGCACCGGCTTGAGTGGGAGTGTTAGATAGTTATATGTATAATATGTCCTAGTCTCATATGTAATAGGAGTAGACTATGTCCTAGTCCCATATATAGTAGGAGTAAAATATGTATCATATATAGGGCTTATTGTATCATTGTTACAAATAGATTTTTCTCATGTGCATTCTCACATGTGGGAGTGCCCCCCGTGGAGGACAAGATGCGAGAAGCAGCGCTGAGATGGTACGGGCATGGGAAGAGGAGATGCATAGATGCCTGGGTGAGGAGGTTTTTGAGATGGTACGGGCATGTGAAGAGGTGCATAGATGCCTGGGTGAGGAGGTGTAAAAGGTTTCTTTTACTATATGATGTTTCCTTCGGTTCGATTATTCTATCACCTGATCACATTTTCTTGTTGTTACTACTTGTTGTTTCTGCTTCTTTTTCATTTTTCCATGAGTCGGGGATTTATCAGAAACAACCTATCTACCTTATCAAGGTAGGGGTAAGGTTTGCGTACACTCTACCCTCTTCAGACTTCACTTTGTAGGATAACATTGGGTTTGTTGTTGTTTCACATGCCTAATGAGGCCTAATATGAAGGCATACAATGAATCAGATTGCATTTTTATGAGAGAAAAATAAAGAATTCCTAATTGCACGTTCAGGATATAAAAACTAATCATTTAAACTCTGGACAGAAAAACAACGTTTACCTAATAAGAAAAGAATTAAGAGGGAAAACTAATTACCTGATTCATATCAATTGTTTGAACCGCTTCCCCACGGGTAAATATTATTGCATGGTTTTGGTTTTCTGGTTTGCCTTCACCAAGTTTTGGATCTCCAGGAAGCTTGACTGAATATATTTCCTGCATGTAAAACAATCCTTTAGAAAATAAAAGACAGAAAGCCAATTCCATCTAAGTGGTTCCATCAAATACAATTATTACCAAAATACGTCCTAAATCCAGAGAGAGTGTTTGTGTCCGAAATCAGTATGGCTTATCAGGATTTAAAATTTCAGAAATCTCCCAAAGATACCATAACATACCAAAATCATTCACAAAATCTTAACACTTTGAGTTAATTGACAATATACCATACCTGATCTTTCCCATGTGCATCAGCTTTGACAAGCTTTGAATAAAATTCCTTTGAAACTTTCCCATCATCCCCAGCAATTTCCTCAACATGTATGAAAGCAACACGAAGTGCTTCATTCCTTGCAAAAAACATAACAAACACAAAGTAAGGCATAGTCAAATGATAAATGACATAAACACTCGAGTATTGCACCACTCAATGAATAATTGTTTATTACATCCGTGCGACAAAACACACAGAGGCAAAGAGAGATGGAAACAGAATTATTTTTCAGTTCTTGCTCAACTACCATGCATATGCTTGCTAATTTAGGGTGTTTACTATCTAAACCAAGCAAAGAAAGACTTTCAGAATTTAACACAAGGAAACAAGAGGGAGGGGGGGG